GTACCTTGAGTGCCATGCGCCCTGCGCCTCAGTATTATTTATAGGGGTTTGGGGAATTATTAGCCTCTTTTATTAAATTATGCGTTTATCGCCATCCGGGCTGGGAATAAAAATTATTTTTCAAGTGTGAATATTCGCCTGAGATTATTCTGGTGCCTTTTGGCCAAGTTGGTGACTGTTTGGAGGTTGAATGATTTCAATTTTTGGGTCTCTGCGTACGTCACGCCTAATTGTGTATTTATTTCTCTCAACTCTGTAACAATAATTTTTATATCGAATATACTTTGGCTTTGCTCTTGAATTTAGAGATTTTGAAGTATTTATTTTTAGAGTTTTGCCCAATAAACTCCTTTTCACCCGAATCCATCTCTCTCTCCACAACCGACTCCCTGAGCAGCGCGGGTAATTACCACCTTTTCCGGGGGTTTTCTTTCGAGACTTTATTTTATAGCATACTTTTGAGTTTGTTTCCGTTTTGGGAAGTTAGGGTATTCCGGTTTGTCATTTCCGGAGGAACAAAAAAAATGACTGGCGCCCGACTTATTGTTTTATTTTGACGATTTTAGATTCCAGGGGAAAAGGGCGGGTTAACTGTCCGATTACATCCCCAGTGGAATTGAACATGTTACAGTAGGTAGGCTGAAAGATCTAGCCATAAAATTATGAAGGTTTCAATTATAAGGGACCCAATATTACTGCAAGTGTTATCATATATTCGTGTAGTGGAGGAGACCTCGGGAGATGGCGCATGCGCATGATTGAAATGCGAGGACAAAATGGTTTGAATTTTTTGCACATATTTGAACGTTTTCTTGTTGATTAACAAAAATGGAAGTCCTATAATTGTTCAAATTCAATATTCATCTGTGGAAGGGACAGTGGGGTGCTCATGGAGTTGAGAGGGAAAAATTTTATCCTCAATCATTTTTCAAAATTTCATCACCACTAATATTTCCACTCATTTGTGCAAGTTACTCAAGCTGGACGAAAAAATGTCCAATGTTCCTTGCCTTTGGAAAAAGGAATCTTTTTTGAATATGAAATCTCGACAAGACGTGGAGAGAATTTATTTATAAAAAAAAACTGTTAGCGGTAATGAAAATTGGACATCTGAATTTCCATTCTCTCAAGTTCACGATTATCCCACTTTCGATTTCATCGTTAACTGTTGAATTTCAACGACCATATTACGGAGGGGAATACACAGACAAAGAGATATTCAGGACGATTTTTCTGGGAAAAAATTGCAGACCGATCTGTATCTCAATAAATTATGCGTTAAATATCGCCAAACATTAAAGGACGTTGATAAGGTTCTTCATTGTGACAAATTTGTGCATTTTAATTTGGCTTCGAGAGCGGGAAATATAGTAACAAAAAGCGGAACAATTTTGTTCAATGGAGGTCAGGAACTGCAGTAGTTCCAAGAGCTGAAGTTGCCGACCTTTGACCTAAAGATAATCGACCGATAGATTTTTCAAGCCTAATCAATAAGATACATCTCCTTGCAGCTCACATTCTAATTTAATGAGTATTAATCATATTCAATATTCAAACCCATAATTATGGTTATTAGACAAGTCACATTAAGAAGCGATCGGCTCTACTTTGAAGATCAAAAATCATACCTTCCAATTTAAAGCTCATTGAGCATTTCTAGAAACTGGCATATACTACTTAGCCGTCATATTAAATTGACATTCTGAAGATGACGGTCGAATTTACACTAAATGCAGTTGAATTTGAAATCTTTTGTAAATTGTTCATATTAAATGATGTGAAAATAGCTTAGAATTTTGAGATTTTGTAACCATCAATGAATCAAATTCCGTTGTTTTCAGTATTTTCCAGACCGAAATTGAGATAACGGTTAACTTATTTCATTTTTGTTATTATTTGTCGATCTATTTCTAATAATAATTGCTCATTTTTGCAGGGCAAGCATTCTGATGCTTATAATGAGTTGTAACCTTGGCCGGTGAATTAACTGAAATCATTCCCGGTCAGGACACGATAAGTCCCGTTACTGTGGAAAAATTGAATAAGTTAGTTGACTTGAGAAAAGGCCTGAAATTCGAAGAGAGGGGGTTGGGGGAATGATCCATTGGGGGGAATTTATGAGGAAAAAATGTCTTATAGTCTTATAGTGCTTTAGGCGTTCCCTTCCATGTTAGGGAGGGTGCAACGAGCTTTCCAGCCATTTTGCACCCTGCATTTGTCAGCCGCCTACTCAATAGGTGCAAGTATGTTGGCCCTTCGAGCAAACTCATAGAGCCCTTCTATACCGTCCCTATCAACATACATATCCTTGATGCAAGTGGTCCCAAAGACGT